GACTTTTTAGATACAACACCAAAGGCAAGATTTATGAAAAATGAATTGAGAAGATAGACTTCATTAAAATAAAATATTTCTGCTCTGTGAAAGACACTTCTTTCCCTCTGTCTCATAAACAAAAAACTCAACACTAAGAAAATGAACAAGACAATTAAAAAATGGCCAAAGACTTAACAAACACCTCACTGAAGAAGATACTCAGATGGCAAGTAAGCATATAAAAAGATGCTCTGCATCATATTAGGGAAATGCAAATTAAAACAACAGTGAAATACCACAACACAACCATTAGAAAGGCCAAAATCCAGAACACTGATAATCTCAAATGGCTGCAAGGATGTAGAGCAACAGGAACTCTCATTCATTGCTGGTGGGGATGCAAGACACAGTCACTTTGGAAGACAATCTGGCAGCTTCTTGCAAAACTAAACACACTCTTTCCATACAATCCAGCAATCATACTCCTTGGTATTACCCAAAGGAGTTGAAAACATATGTCCACACAAACACCTGCACATAGATGTTTATAGCAGGTTTATTCATAATTGCTGTTGTGGGCTGAATGTTTGTGGACCCTTGAAATTCGTATGTTGAAATCTAATTACCCATGTGATGGTATTTGGAGTTGGGCCTTTGGGAGGGAACTAGCTTATAAGAATAGGGCATTCAAGAATGGGATTAGAAGACGCTAGAGAGCTAGCTTGTCTTCTTTCAGCCATGTGAGGATACAAGTCACTTGTCTGCAACTGGAAAAATGGCCTTTACCAGAACTTGACTATACTGGCACCATGATCTTGGCCTTCCAGCCTTCAGAACTGTGAGAAGTAAATGTTTATTGTTTAAGCCACCCCGTTTATGGCCATTTGTTAGAGCAGTCTGAACTAAGACCACTGTCAAAACCCGGAAGCAACCAAAGATGTCCCTCAGTAGGTGAATAAACTGTGGCACATCCAGGCAATAAAATATTATTCAGAGTTTAAAAGAAATATGCTTTCAAGCCATGAAAAGACTCAGAAGAAACTTAAATGCAGCTTGCTAAGTGAAAGAATTCAATATGAAAATGTTGTATGATTCAGGAGGCTGAGGCAGGAGAATTGCCTGAACCTAGGAGACGGAGGTTGCGGTGAGCCGAGATCGCACCATTGCACTCCAGCCTGGGTAACAAGAGTGAGACTCTGTCTCAAAAAAAAAAAAAAAAAAAGAAAATGTTGTATGATTCAAGCAATATGACATTCTAGAAAAGGCAAAACTACGAAGACAGTAAAATCTCAGTGGTTGTCTGGGAATATAGCAGGGGAGAATAGGTAGAGTACAGGAGTTTTGGAGCAGTGAAACTATTTCATATGCAACAGTAATAGTAGACACAAGACATTATGCCATAGCACTGTATAACACCAAGAGTGAACCCTAATGTAAACTGTGGGCTTTGGATGATAACAATGTGTCAATGTAGGTTCATCCATTGCTTTTTTGTCGTTGTTGCTGTTTTGAGACAAGGTCTCGCCTTGTTGCCCAGGTTGGTGTTGGAGTGCAGTGGTGCAGTCTTAGCTCATGGTGACCTCCACCTCCCGGGTTCAAGCAATTCTCATGTCTCAGCCTCCTGAGTAGCTGGGACTATAGGTGCGCACCACCACATCCAGCTAATATTTTTTTTTTGTATTTTTAATAGAGACAGGGTTTCGCCACATTGGCCAGGCTGGTCTTGAACTCCTGGCCTCAAGTGATCCACCTGCCTTGGCCTCCCAATGTGCTGGGATTACAGATGTGAGCCACTGCTCCGCGTCACTCAAAAAAATTTATTTAAAAAGATAAAAAAATTCTAGTTATCACTTTCCCTGACACCCACCACCAGCTACAGCCCTATTTCCCTGTTTCCCTGTATTGCAAAACTCTTCAAAAGACTTGTCCATATTTGCTACCCCAATTCTTCTACTATTCTCACTTTGACCTTTCTAATCAATCTCACTAGTCCCTATGCCTATGCAGATTGCTTTTACCAGTTGCCAAATCTAATGGACAGTTGTTATTCTGCATCTTACTTGATTTATCAACAGCTTCTGACACAGGTGACCACTCCTTCCTCCTGAAAACATTTTCTTCCTTTAGCTTCCAGGGTACTCTCCTCTCCTGGGTTTCCTACTACTTTACTGATGATCGCCCCCAGTCACCTTTGCTGGTTCCTCATCTTCTCCCTAATCTCTAAACACTGGAGTTCCCCTGGCCTCACTTCATCCCTATTTCATTCTCTCCTTTGCTGATCTCATCCAGTCTCCTGTTTTTAAAAAATATCATCTAAATGCCAAGAGTTCTAAATGAGTCTGATTCTCTAGCTCAAACTTCCCCCTTGAACTTAGACTGTGTATCTAGCTGCCTGTTCAATAATTCTATTTGCCTGGCAACTGACCAGGTAAATTTGACTGATATCAAACTTTACCAAAGCTTATCTCTCACTGTACCCCTAAAACCTGTTCTACTTGCAGTCTCTCCAATCTCAGTTAGTAGCAATTTCATTTTTCCAGTTGCTTGAATCAAAATCTCTAGGATCATCTTTAAATCCTTTCTTTCACACCTTAAATTCAGTGCATTTCTCTATGTCCTCAGCATAACCACTTCTCACTCTCTCCACTGCCCTCTCCCTAATCTGAAGAACCCTCATCTCTTGCCTGGCCTATTACAGAAGTGGCCTAACTGGTCTCCCTGCTTCTATTCTTACTTGCTACTGTTTATTCTCAGCACAGAACTGAAAATGATCCTTTTAAAATAAAAGTTATATCAAGTCTCTGCTCAAAACCCTACAGTGGCTCCCCATTTAATTGAGAGTAAAGGCCTTTCAACAGCCTACAAAGCTCTTTGTAACCTGCATTCTCACCCCTACTGCACTCTGACCACACCACCTGCTATTCTTCACTCATGTTCAGCTCCAGCCTCACCAGTCTCCTGTTTCTTTTCCTTATGCCATAGCCTTTCACTAGCTGCTCCCTCAGATGTCCACATGGCTAATGCCCTTACATCTTTCAAGTCTTTATTTGAAGATCATCTTTTCATTGAGGCCGACTCTGACCACCTTAGCTAAAAGTGTAACCCCTAACTCTAGTGGAACTCTCCATGCTCCTCTTAACCCAATACATTTTTTCCTTGCATTTATCATCCTCTAATATACTATATAACTTATTTCCTTGTATATTATATGTCTTCCCTACCCACCTCCAAACAATAAGCTCCACTGGGAGAAAGATCTTTGTTTTATTCGCTACATGTCCAAATCACCTAGAACACTGCAGGCTCTCAAAAAATATTTGTTAAGGGCCTGGCATAGTGGCTCATGCCTGTAATCCTAGCACTAAGGGGCCGAGGTCACACCACTGTGCTCCCATCTGGGAGACAGAGCAAGACTCCGTCTAAAAAGAAAAAAAAATTTTGTAAAGGCTGAGTGCTATGGTTCATCCCAGCACTTTGGAAGGCTAAGGTGAGCCGATTGCTTGAGCTTAAGACTTTGAAACCAGCTTGGGCAATATGGCAAAATCCTGTCCCTACAAAAATTACCTGGGTGTGGTGGCAGGTGCCTTGGGAAGCAGAGGTGGCAAGATCACTTGAGCCCAGGAGGTGGAGGTTACAGTGAGCTGAGACTGTGCCCCAGCCTGGCGACAGAGTGAGGCTGTCTCAAAAAATTTTGTTGTTATTGTTGTTAAAAAGAAGTACTATTTCCCGTTATGTGGAAATGGCACTCCTAGAAATTATGTATCAAATACTTGATGGAATGGCTTCAGGCTACAAAAAGACTCATAGGATGAGAATGTGGCTCAAGAGTCTATATCTGAGAATCACTCTAGAACTCAGATGCCTCTTGACTGCCCTCCTCTCCCCAACCATCCCATCCTTGCCAGTTATAATTACCTATAAAGTCACTGAAGAGGCTCAGTCTAAAAGCACAATGACCTGCCTGGGCTCCTGCAGCTCACCAAACTCAATTTTGGCCTCACTTCTAAGACCAAGCTAGTGACCTAGTATCCAGGTCATCATCTCAGCCTTCCTGCTAGTCCAGCTTTAACTGTCTTTTGCTTCCTTCCAGACCTCCTGCCTCCTGGATTCTGCTCACCAGGCCTCCCTAGATCTCCTATCTGTTAACCTGGACCTCTGCTCTCAGATACCTTGACCCCTTCAACTCTCCTTTCCCACTACTCCCTTACCTGAATGTCCTGATCCCCTCTTAATGTTAATTCTGAGACCTTTCTGAAGAGCGAGCCAAGCCCTGGTCCTTTTGGTCTCTCTATTTAAGACTGAATAAGGACTATCTCAGACCTGGCTGAGCCTTGAGCCTGAAAATAATTAACATGAACTTTTAGTTCTTCAAAGGGCATAGTCAATCTTCCTAACAGTGTCAAAATGCTCTTAGCTAAGATAGTTGAAGTTGGTTGTCAAAAATAATCCATGTCAAGCACTTGTGTTTTATGCAGCAGACCTATCTGCTTTATTTGGATCCTTTCACTTGGGTGATACCAGAATATACTTTGCATTCTGGTGCCTCAAAAAAGAAATCAGATTTCTCAGGAAACTGGGCCCAAATAAAAAGAAAACAATGGGTCGGGTGTGGTGACTCACACCTGTAATCCCAGCACTTTGGAAGGCTAAGGCGGGTGGATCACATGAGATCAGGAATTGGAGACCAGCCTGACCAACATGGTGAAACCCTGTCTCTCTAAAAATACAAAAATTAGCAGGGCATTGTGGTGTGTGCCTGTAATCCCAGCTACTTGGGAGGCTAAGGCAGGAGAATCACTTGAACCCGGGAGGTGGAGGTTGTGGTGAGCTAAGATTACGCCACTGCACTCCGGTCTGGGCAACAGAGTGAGACTCCATCACACTCACACTCACACACACAGACACACACACAAATGATGGCTACTGGAGTCAGCCCAGGACTGGAAGTTATATAATCCTTGGATCCAATTTTTACCCTTACTAATCCTGGTATATCCCATAGGATTAAAGCCACATACCTAGAAGCATCAAGGAATGGTCTATAGGCCAAGCTGATCCATTCTTCTTTATTGGATGAATATTTTGGCTCCCGGGGTGTTTCTCTCATGGTGTCCAAATCCACTAAATAATGGCATTTGCTGATATCAATCTGAAACGGAGAAAGGCCAACTCTTCATTAGTAATTTCAATTCTCTATATCTTCAGGATAGAGAACAGCAATTGCAATCCTAAAAATTCACAGAGCTTTGGAGGAACAAACATCCAAGTCCTCAGACAATGTTGCCTGTGCTCTCTCCACTCAGGTAAGAGTATTCAGGCTCTTGGGAGAGAGAGATGCACTCATTCAGCCAAATATATATGTAAGCTTTGGCTGGTCTGATTCTAGGTTGGGTTCTTAAGTTCTTCCAGTCCCATAGACGCTTCCAAAGTCACCATGAGCCCACAATCTTCCTCTGGAAAACCTATCTTCTTCTGCTCACTACTGCACCCTTCCAGTCCATCACCTCTTTATTCCACAGATTCAAAGGGCATGACTAAACACAGATGCTAATATGTGAGAAGGCCTGCCTCTCCTGACAGCCAGGGAAGGTTACACTACACCTCACAGGGGGTACAGAAATATCATGCATATCATCTCCTTCAAATATTCTTTTTTTTTTTTTTTTTAGATGGAGTTTCGCTCTTGTTGCCCAAGCTGGAGTGCAATGGCTCGATCTTGGCTCACTGTAACCTCTGCCTCCTGGGTTTGAGCAATTCTCCTGCCTCAGACTCCCAAGTAGCTGGGATTACAGGCATGCGCCACCATGCCCAGCTAATTTTTTGTATTTTTAGTAGAAATGGGGTTTCACTAAACCCCATTTGAGACCCAGTTAACCAGGCTGGTCTCAAACTCCTGACCTCAGGTGATCTGCCCGCCTTGGCCTGCCAAAGTGTTGGGATTACAGGCATGAGCCACTGCGCTGGCCTCCTTCAAATATTCAACAGAATTGACAGAGACATTGGAACGGCCCCTGAATCAAAAGTTTAGTGAAACTGAGATATCAAAACTCTGCTTTTGTTAATACTATATATTATATTAATACTATATATTAAATTAATAGTGTGTATTAACAAAAGCAGAGTCAGCCAGTTGCTGATAACATGGATACATCAGAATATTATAGACGCTCAAAGGAGAATATGAAAATATTTCATTTAAGGCCAGGTGTGGTGGCTCACGCCTGTAATCCCAGCATTTTGGGAGGCTAAGACAGGCAGATCACAAGGTCAGGAGATCAAGACCATCCTGGCTAACACAGTGAAACCCTCTCACTACTAAAAATACGAAAAATTAGCCGGGTATGATGGCATGTACCTGTAGTTCCAGCTACTCGGGAGGTTGAGGCAGGAGAATTGCTTGAACCCGGGAGGTAGAGGTTGCAGTAAGCCGAGATGGTGCCACTGCACTCCAGCCTGGGCGAAAGAGCAAGACTACCCTCTCCAAAAAAAGAAAAGAAATAAAACTTCATTTAAAACAATGCTGGGCCAGGCACAGTGACTCTTGCCTATAGTCCCAGCACTTTGGGAGGCTGAGGTGTACAGATCTCTTGAACCCATGAGTTCAAGACTAGCCTGGGCAACATGGCCAAAGCCCATCTCTATAAAAAATACAAAACTTAGCTAGGTGTGGTGGCATACACCTGTAGTCCCAGCTACTCAGGAGACTGAGGTGGAAGGATCACTTGAGCCGTGGAGGTCAAGGCTGAGGTGAGCCAAGATCATCCCACTGCATTTCAGCCTGGGCAAAAGAGTGTGACCTGCTTCAAAAATATATTTCTAAAACAATTAAAAAAATAAGGAGTCCTCTTAGATTGTTAGGCATCAGCTAAGATAAAGACTATTTGAAACATGTATAGATACACTTGACACTGAAGGAATGAAAGCTTTTCCTCTGGGATCCAGAATAAGTCAAGGCTGCTTGCTATCACTACTTGGTTCAACATTTTACTAGAGGATCTGGTCAGTAGAGTAAGACTAGAAAAAGAAACACAGGGCAGAAGAAAGGGAAAGCTCATTCATCACAATGATATAATTGGTCCAAAAGACTCTACAAATAAAACTTGGAATTATTAGGAGTGTTTAGCAAAATTTAAACTTATAGGATGTCAATCAATGTCATATATTCCATAGCAATAAACAAAATGAAATTTTATAAAAATATAATTTACAAGCATTTGAAAATGTTTACCTTGAAATAAATCTAATAAAACATGAAAGTGCTCTATAAAAAAGTATAAAATCTTATTGGCCAGGCACGGTGGCTCACGCCTGTCATCCCAGCACTTTGGGAGGCCAAGGTGGGCGGATCAACTGAGGTCAGGCATTCGAGACCAGCCTGGCCAACATGGGAAACCCCATCCCTACTAAAAATACAGAAATTAGCTGGTTGTGGTGGCACACATCTGTAATCCCTTGGGAGGCTGAGGCAGGAGAATCGTTTGAACCTGGGAGGAAGAGGTTGCAGTGAGCTGAGATCACGCCACTGCACTCCAGCTTGGGCGACAGAGTGAGACTCTGTCTCCAGAAAAAAAAAAAGGATAAAATTTTATTGACAAACATCCATCAACTTATAGATTTATGTATACATATTATTAAAATGTGGTATGTCCATACACATTTTAATACTTAGCCATAACAAGGAATGAAGTTCTGATACATGCTATGCCATAGGTAAACCTTAAAAATATTGCTGTGACTGAAAGAGTCCAGACACCAAAGGCCACATATACATGATTCCATTTATATGAAATGTTCATAATAGGCAAATCCTCCAAGACAGAAAGCAGAGGTTATTATGAACTGGGGAGTGACTGCTTAATGTATATTTAATGGGTATGGGGTTTTTTGGGGGAGGGGCATAATAAAAATCTTCTAAACCTAGATACTGGTAAGAGTTGCACATTATAAATGTATTAAAAGTCATTGAATTGTATACTCTGAAATGATTAAAATTGTAAATTTTATGTTGTGCATATTTTACAATACAAAAATTGAAATGGTGAATTTTATTTCAAATAATTTTTTTGATACACAATAAAGTAGACCTTATTAATGAAGTAATATACGTTATTCCTGGATGAAAACCTTACTATTATAAAGATGTCAATTCTAAACAAATTGATTGATAAATTAAATACAATCTCAATCAAAATTCCAACAGTTCCAACAGAGTGTTTTTGAAATTCAACAAGCCAATTCTAAAATGTGTATGGAAAGGCAGAAGAACAAGAATAGCCAAGGCACTCTTAAGAAAGAAGAACAGGCTGGGTATGGTGGCTCACACTTGTAATCCCGTACCTTGGGAAGCCAAAGTCGGAAGACAACTTGAGGTCAGGAACTTGAGATCAGCCTAGGCAAACAGTGAGACCCTGTTTCTACAAAAATTTAAAAATTAGCAGGTTGTGGTGGTGTGTACCCATAGTCCTAGCTACTAAGGAGACTGAGGCAGGAAAACTGCTTGAGCCCAGGAGGTTGAGGTAGCAGTAAGCTATGATCATGCCATTGCATTCCAGCCTGGGTGACAGAGCAAGATCTCACCTCTAAAAAGAAAAGCAGCAACAACAACAAAGTGGGGGCTTACTTACTATAAAGCTATAGAAATTAATACAGTAGTCCATGTGCAGCGGCTCACGCCTGTAATCCCAACACTTCTGGGAGGCCAAGGCAGGTGGATCACCTAAGGTCAGGAGTTCAAGACCAGCCTGGCCAACATGGCGAAACACTATCTCTACTAAAAATACAAAAATTAGCCGGGCATTGTGGTGGGCACCTGCAGTTGCAGCTACTCAAGAGGCTGATACAGGAGAATTCCTTGAACCTGGGAGGCGGAGGCTGCAGTGAGCCAAGATATCACCACTGCACTCCAGGCTGGCAACAGAGCAAGACTTTTGTTTCAAAAAAAAAAAAAGAAGAATACGGTGAGGTATCAATGCAGGAACACATCAACAGACCAATGAAATAGAACAAAGAGCCTAGATCAGATGCAAGTACATGCAAACCCTTATTTATGACAGAAGTAACACCATAAAGAAGCAGATGGTCCTTTCACCTACTGGTGCTGGGACAACTGGATATCCATTAGGGGAAAAATGAAATTGAACCTCAACCTCACACCATATAAAAATCAACGTTAGATGGATTATAGGCCTAAAAGTGAAAAGATAAGCCTCTTAGAAGATAATATAAAAGAATATCTTCAAGATCTTGGGTAAAAGAGTTTGTAGATAAAGCATTAATTATAAAAAGAATGACAGATAATTTGACAATATTAAAATTGAGAATACCTTTTCATCAAAAGACACATTAAAAGGCCAGGTTGCAGTGGCTCACGCCTGTAATTCCAGCACTTTCAGAGGCTGAGGTGGGAGGATCACTTGAGGCCAGGAGTTTGAGACCAGCCTGAGCAAAATAATGAGATCCCATCTCTACAAAAAGTAAAAAAATTAGCTAGGCATGGTGGTGCGCACCTGTGGCTCCAGCTACTTTGGAGGCTGGGGTGGGAGAATTGCTTGAGCCCAGGAGGTAGAGGTAGCAGTGGTCAAAAGACATTAAGAATAAAAAAAAAAAAAAACACAAAATGAGAGAAGATATATGTAATACATTTAACCATTGAGGATTCATATCCAGAATATATAGAACTCCTGTTAATCAACAAGACAAAGACAAACCACCCAAAAGAAAAACAGGCAATGGCCAGGCACGGTGGCTTATGCCTGTAATCCCAGCACTTTAGGAGGCCAAGACAGGTGGATCACGAGGTCAGAAGTTCAAGACCAGCCTGGCCAATATAGTGAAACCCCATCTCTACCAAAAATACAAAAATTAACCAGGCATGGTGGCACATGTCTACAGTCCCAGCTACTTAGGAGGCTGAGGCAGGAGAATCGCTTGAACCCAGGAGGTGGAGGTTGTAGTGAGCCGAGATTGCACCACTGCACTCCAGCTTGGGCAACAGAATAAGATTTCATCTCAAAAAAAAAGAAAAGAAAAGAAAAACGATCAAATGACTTAGGTACTTCATCAGAAGAAACCTAAATGGCCAAAACAAGTGATAATGCGTTCAACCTCTTTAGTAACCAGCAAATGCAAATGAAAATCACAATGAAAAAT